GAAGCAAGTGGAGTAGATGGCGGTGGTGACGGTAGAGAAGGTGGTGGTGGTTTCAGTTGACGTCTGTCCCTGAGCCAGGGAGTGAAGGATGAGGCAAGTCTCTCACACAGTAGCTTTCAAAAATGTTTAGTTATAGCCAGAGTAAGAAATGAATGGTGCATTGCAACCCAATAAACACATATACACAAACTGATAAATAATAGGTATTGTTGTTGTTGTTAAGTGCCGTCGAATTGGTTCCAACTTGTAGCAACCCTTTACAGGGTTTCCAATGAGCGACTGGTGAGTTTGAACCATCAACTTTACGGTCCAAACCAACGTTGCAGTCCAGAGCATTGACCGACAGTGCCACACCAGGACTCCAAATAATTATGTATAAACATACTCATTAAGACACATCTATAACTTCTTAGAAATCCTGTACAGAGTCGCTATGAGTGGGAACCGACTCAATGGCATTTAACAACAAAAATAATATATAACTGATGCAATAAAATGCACACGGGTCTCTTGTGATACAATAGTGAATAATTGTTATCAGGACTGATTGTGAGTGTTGAAAATGTAAAGGTAGACGTTTTATAGCAAGGAGGGGAGTGATTAACTTCTCAGTCTAGGAGCGGCGGTCCCTAGGACCATCAAGGGAGAAAAGCAGAGAGTGAGACCCTACCCAGAGAAGCAGTAATAACTGAAATGGAGGCAGAGATGATGACGTGGAGTGATGGAGCAGCTGGAGACTTTAGATCCAGAGAGAGAGAGAGACTGTGTGCTTAAGACCTGGGAGGTACGGGGGAAGGATTGCAGGGTATACCCTTTGGTTGGCTGATGATGCATGGAGGGGATTGTAACCATGGCAATGAGACGATATACAATAGAATGAATGTAAAACTAATGTTCTCCCATGTAAACTATCACATAATTCACAATAAAACATTTAAGAAAAAAAATAATATATAACTATAAACAAGAATTATGTACATTTCTTACTATTACTACTTGTGATTCATTCTAGTCATTTCTCTTCTGTTCTACTTCACTTTAAGGCTAGTTCATACTCTCTAAATTAATTTCTCTATCCACTAATGGAAAGTGGCCTGGAGTTTTAAAAACTGGGCTTTAGAAGGATAGTCCTCGTACATCATGATGTCCTGGTACTTCATGATGTCCTGGTACTTCTAGGTTCTGAAGGCATTTAAGGAAAAGAATATAATCCCTGCAGTGTACCAGCCTAGAAGTCTATCCTGCAACTATCTAGCCTGACTTACTCTTCTGGGTCTCAGAAGACTGATGTAAAATAAGAAACCATAACATCAATTTCTTTTAATTCTAAAATTCTGATACATATTTTGATCACTGTTGTAACAGACACCAGGAAAGCTGGGGTTGCATTTAGATAAGGCAGATGTGTGTCTGGAGAGGAAATGCCCTACTTTAATGTATTAGATCATTCCCCTTCTGCTCTTCCTTTGTTTGTTTAACAGGCTTGTGGCTGTTAGGAGCTGTTGAGTTGGTTCTGACTCATAGCAAGCCTGTATAGGTTTACTGAATTATAATTCACATACCATATACTTCACCCATATAAAGCACACTGTTCAACTTTTAAATCACAGAGTCACAGGATATACAGCCATTGTTGTTGTTGTTAAGTGCCGTCAAGTCGATTCCGATCCATAGCAACCCTGTATAGGGTTTCCAAGGAGCAGCTGGTAAGCTTGAACCATTGACTTTGAAGTTCAAACGACTTTGCAGTCTGACCCATTAGCCCACAGCGCCACACCACAATTTAATTTTGTTCACCTCCTCTAAACTCTATCCATTAAGTAATTAATTCCAATTTCCTTCTATCCCTGTTCCACACCAACCCCTAATCAACCATTCATCTACTTTCAGTCTCTATAAGTTTGCCTATTCTGGCCATTTCACATAAATGGAATGCTAGTTTGTGTCTGATGTATTCCACTCGGCCTAATGCTTTCATCCATATAGGATCACACATGTTGTAGCTGGCAAGTATTTCATTTCTGTTTATTGCCAAATAATATTCAGTGTATGGAAAGATCACATTTATTGATTTGTGCATTCACTGATGGACATTTGGGTGCTTTCCACTTTTATGAATAATGCTGCTATGAAGATTTATCTACAAGTTTCTCTTGGGTATGTACCCAGGAGTTGAACTGCTGAGTCATGTAACTCTATGACTAACTTTTTGAGGAACTGCCAAATTGCTTTCCAAACCGGCTGCACCATTTACGTTATACATTCTCCACAGCCTCACTAATACTTGTTATCGTCAATCTTTCCTAATGGATGTGAAATGGTATTTCATTGTGGTTTTTTATTTGTATTTCCTAAATGACTAATGGTGTTGAGCAAAGTTTTGTGTACTTACACAGGAATCAAATTGACTATTTATTTCTGTCAGAAGAAATGGTGGAAAAGCTCAATATCATCAGCCAAAACAAGGCCAGGGGCAGACTGTGGAAAAGTTCATTAACTGATCATATGCAAGTTCAGGTTGAAACTGAACAAAACTAAAACAAGTCCATGAGAGCCAAAGTAAGACCCTGAACATATTCCACCTGATTTTAGATACCATCTCAAGAACAGATTTGATGCATTAAACACTAATGTCTCAAGACTAGAAGAGCTATGGAATGACATCAAGAACATCATACAGGAAGAAAGCAAAAGTCATTTAAAAGAAAGGAATGAAAAAAAAGACAAAACTGTGTATCATTAGAGACTGCAATTTTCTCTCTATCACAGAGATGCTAAAGTGAATGGAAGAAATGAAGAAGTAAAAGAGCTGAGCAGAAAATGCCCAAAGGTAGCCCAAGAAGACAAAAGCAAGTATTATAATGAAATGTGCAAAGTCCTGGAGTTAGAACAACAAAAAGGGAAGAACAAGTTCAATATTTCTCAAACTTAAAGGACTGAAGGAAAAATTCAAACCTCAACTTGCAATATTAAAAGACTCTATGGATGAAATATCGAATGATGAAGAAAGCAACAAAGAAAATGGAAAGGGACCTTCAGCAAGATGGCAGACTAGGCAGATGCACTACATAGACCTTCTATTACAAAGATACAGAGACCAAAGAAAATAGATACAGATGGAACTCCTGGAACCATAAACTTCAGAGGAAAGGTTAAAGAAATGGATTGAGTGCTTGTTGGGAGGAGAAGTTAAGCAGGAGCAGGAATGGTGAAAGAGGGAGACTGACTGTGAATAGGTGGCCAGATGCAACGTGACCATCTTGAACCTTTGTGAGAAGCTTTGGCCAACAGAAGGTGGCTTGGCCTGTGTGAATCTACTTGGTTCACCTGCCCCAGACTTGAGACTCCTGTCTGCTCTTCTGCCTTCCAGGCCCACCCGCCAATCTTGGTTCACCTTGCCCAGACTTGGGATTCCTATCTGCCCAGCTGCCTGTTGACCATCCCTGCTGATCTTGGCTCAGCTGACCCGAACATGGGACTTTCCTACCTCCACAGCTGTGAGCCAGTTCTTTGAGATATAACTTCTCTTTATTATCTGTAAGTTTCACTGGTTTTGCTTCTCTAGAGAACCCAGTCAAAGACACATGCCACAATCAAATTTTCCAAACTGTCTCAGAAAAGTCCTGCGAGTAGCTTGGGATAAACATGAAGTTAACTACAAAGGAGAACCGATAAGACTAAGCTCTGATTTTTCAGCAGAAACCATGCATGCAAGAAAGCATATATGAAAAAAATAAATTTACAGCCAGCAAAGCTGTCCCTCAAATACGACATCAAAATTAGGACATTTCCAAGCAAACAGAACTTAAGGGAATTTGCAATAACATAACCAACGTTACAAAAACTACTAGAGAATGTTCTCTGGACTAAGAACCAACAGCAGACAGTGAACTGGGATTAATATACACAGCAACACAATCCAGAACTCAATCCAGATGCAGAAGTATTTAAAGTAAAACAAAACTAAAGACTGAAATAGAGAACCAGAGATACCAATTTATAATGAAGAAAACTACAAAGCAAAAAGAGGGACTACGGTTATCCATCTAAGGGGAGTGTTTTTCCTGTACCCATGCCACACTTTTAGTACCACAGTGTGCTTGATCTTGTGGATGACTGTTGTTGTTGTTGTTTAGTGCCGTCAAGTCAGTTCTGACTCATAACAACCCTGCGGTTCACTTCAGGAGCTCATATTAGGATGGAGCACAAAGCAGAAAGACAGGATCCACGGCTCTGTGGATGTGCATATTCTGTCCCCTCCCACAAGATGTTTTGCTTCTTCCCATGTCTACCTGGTAGGTTCCTAAGATTCAGATAGCAGCTCCTCTCCAGAGCCAGGGCTGGAATCCAGAAAGGTGAGCCAGTCGCCACAATCTTAACCACCAGGGAGGAGGAAGAGGAGGAATGGAAAGCAAAGGAAGGTGGTGACAAGGTCCAGCTCGGAGGGCCCTTGCACATAGCACACACAAGCTAGGGCCTAATTATTAAACTGAAAGTCCCACAGCACTGCAGTTCCTCAGGAGGAACTTTATCTTGGCAGACTAATGTGGCACTGTAGGATAAGCACTGGACTGCTGCTAACCACAAGGTCAATGGTTCAAACCCACCAGTTGCTCCTTTGAGAACCTATTCAGGGTCTCCAGTTGGAAGTGACTTAATGGCACTAAACAGGTTTTGCCTGGGGCATTGGTGATTCAGTGGCAGAGTTCTTGGTTTCCATGTGGGAGACCTGAGTTCACCTCCTATGCGGTCCCTACTCATCTGCTATGAAGGCTCTGTGTAGCTGTGATAGTGAGCAGGTTTCAACAGAGCTTACAGACTCAGATGGACTAGGAAGAAAAGCCTGGCAACCTACTTCTGAAATCCAGCCAGTGAAAACCCTATGGTCAGAACAGACCAATCCACAGCTGATGATGGGTACAATGCAGGGCAGGACAACACTGTGTTGTTCAGCATGGGAAAGACTTAAGTTGGCCGATCACAATGTGTTACTCACTTACCTTGGCATATAGGGAATGAGTAGAAACCTAAGCGACAGGTATCACACCGAAGGCCCTCCACCCCAGGGCGGCAGAGACACCTTCCACGGGCATCACATATTTCAGGGAGAACACCTTCCAAGTTGCATTCACACCCTGACAAGGAGAAGAGACTTTCAGAAGGCATCTCTATTCCTCATTCCTTCATGAATCTTTTCCTTACCCACAAAACTAGAGGGCAGAGATCAGGAATTATCTCGACTGTATATATATAACATTCTTCCCTTAGGAGACTATGTCTTCAATGGGAATCAAACAAATATTCAGAGATACCATTAAGGAGCTTTTAGGGGTAGGTGTTTGTTTGTAAAACATTTATAATCTTTCAACATCTACCCCTATAATTTTTTTTTTATTCGAAATCTGAGTCTTGGGCAGAAAATTTTATGAGAGTCCCAGCTGAAGAATTCAATTCACTCATCTAGTGAAATCGATTCACATCTAATCTTCATGGGAAGATAATCATCTTTCTACCTTCAATCTTCTAGAAAAGGTAAACTAGTGTGAATTCAGCCCTACTATGTGCCTGCCAGTCACAGATTCCCTCACGAAATTCCTCCAGGCACCTGGCCTTCCCGGGAGCCAGCAGTTTCCAATACCTCAAACAGTGTTTTATCACCTGAGAACCTTGGCTCAGGCCCTTCCCGCTGCCAGAATGTCCCTCCTGGCATGATAGACCTTTTCTCATCCTCCAGGGCTCAATACAAATGTCAATTCCTCAGGCAAGTTTTTCCTGATCAGTCTGTATAAACATACTTATTCTCCCAACCCCTTCTCACTCCTTACTCTCGATCTCAGCTGTATTTGTCCTTCTTAAACTGTGGGGATCAAAAATGCCCACACATTTTTCTACCAATTCTCCTACCCAGAAAGGCACTCAGGTTCCCCAGCCCTGGAATCTGAGTTGGCCTCGTGATTTTCTTGGGCCAGACGGACAAATTGAAAGTGCTGCTGTGTGACTTCTGAGCCCAGGTAGCAAGAGGCTTGGCAGCTGAGAACCCTGAGACCACCACATGAGGAACTCAGTCTGGCCACCTTAAGGACAAAAGCCCACTCAGTTGTCTCAGATAAGCCCAGTCCCAGCTGGCCATCCAGTCAAACTGGCAGAAGAACCACCCATCCAACCCACACCATAGTGAGAAATAATCTTTGCTGGTTGAAGTCATGAGGTTTTGGAGTGATTTATTACACAACAATAAATGACTGCTACCCCAGAGGACTAAAAATGAAATCAGAGCTCACAAAACCCCTAGTGCCATCACAGTTATTCTCAACAGATAAGACAGTTGTTGTCGTGTGCCATCCAGTTGGCTCCAACTCATAGTGACCCTATATAGGGTTTTTGAGAGTGACTGGTGGCTTTGAACTGCCGACCTTGTGGTTAACAGTCCAGTGCTTATCCTGCAGCACCAAGAGGTTCTTATAATATCCAGTCATAAAGAGACATGAAGTTCTGATACATGCTGCAACATAAGTGAATCTTGAAAACATCATGCTGAGTTAAGTAAGTCCAACACAAACAGACTTTAGTTGTATGATCCCATTTACATGAAACATCTAGAATAGGCAGATGCATAATGAACGAAGTTTATTCGTGATTACTGGGGGACTAGCAGCATAGGGGTTACGAATCGGGCTGCTAACCTCAAGGTCGGCAGTTCAAAACTACCAGCCAATCCACAGGAGAAACATGAGGTCTCCTGCTCCCGTAAAGATTTACAGTCTCTGCACAGGACCACTACTGTAAAAGACTAAAGGAAAGAACCCATACTAAAGGAGGGTGGGGGTAATTCTTTGTTGATTATTGGGATGTTGAGGGTGGGTGAGGGGAGGGAGGGGAAGGTGGAGGACAGGGCAGGGATTAGACACAGGATAGTTTTGTGTGCTAGAGAGGGGGCAATATACAAGTAGGGAGAGGGGAATGGAAGAACAAAACAGATGGGAGAACAATTAGACAGGTCTCAATGGGCTAAGTGAGACAGAGGTAAATAATGATATATGCACAACCTGGGAACAACAGGGTTCTGGGATACAGAGATCGAGCCACTGTTGGAATGTGGAAAAGGGGGGAATAATAAATATTAAGATGCTTGGCTGTCTTTTGAATCTTGGTTTTCCTTGCATTATATTATAAAATAAACACTGGAGGGGGAGAGAAAGGAATAGTAAAAAGCATCACCATAGAAAGCTTGTAAGTCC